TGCTCATCTTGGCATTTCTATTTGTCTAACACATGTTTGTCTTGTGGATACCCTGAAGGTACTTCACGATAAATATGTCCCAAACTGATTTCTTCTCCCTCCTGAAACAAAACTAGCATCTGCCCAGTGGCTTATGGGTAAACCTGTGAAGTCATCTTACACTCACTTTTCATCCATATATTCAGTTTGTTCCTTAGTCCTATCTGCTGTAACTCAGTAATCTCTCTGACTTCCATATTCCCCTTTTTGTTTCTGCCGTCAATTATTGTGGCTCAGGCTTTTGTTACCTTTCACTTAGAGACTGTTGTAATACCCTTCTGACTTTTTGTTTTTGCCTTCAATCTTACTTCTTCAATAGTCTTTCCAGTCCATCCTGTATACTGCTTCTCTGTACTGATTAATATTTCCTCTTTAAAAACCTTTGTTTTTCATTGCCTATACAATTAAATTCCAGACTCTTCAGTCTGATGCTTACGTCGCTTTGCAGATTTCTAGTCTACCCCCATACTTTCTCCTGGACCTACCTCCTCCAGCCTGGGCTCAGCTACTTCCTCTCTCGGGAGTATGTTTATACACCATCGTCCTCCTTCTCTCTCCCTCTTCCCCCCAAAAGTTTGACCTACTACTTTTGCTTTAAGGCCCAGCTTGAATTTCTAGTCATTTAAGGGTTGTTCCTAGATGTTCCCCTGGTAAAAATTATCTCCCAACTAAACTTTTTGGCTCTAGCCTTCATCACTCTTTTTATTTTTTTAAGTAACAAAAAAATTTGTGTTTTGTTTTTTTTTCTCCTTTGTTCCTTTAGACCTTGAGTCTACACATTTCAGTTAATCATATTCCTTAGTCCATAGCATACTACATGGGTACCAACCTTTTTGTTTTTTGCTTCCTTATCAGTTACTCCCATTGTCCTCTTTCCTGTAGAAACACTCCCTAATATATTATACATGAATTATATATACTTGTGTATATAGACTTGGGAATATAGCTGTCTTTCTCTTTCACAGAGATTGTTAGTTTTGAGTACTTCTACCTTTTAATACTACTTTGTACAGAGTAAGTGGTCAATAAATGTTTTCTACTTGAAATTCATCGGAAATTATTATTGGTTTTGCTAGCGTCCATATTGCTTAGACTGAAAACCTGGGGATTTAATTTCAGCTTTCCTCTGCTACATCTAGTTAGAGAGTCATGACAGTTCTGAATCTTTCATTTCCTGTTGCAAACTTTAAACTCTCATCAACTTTCACCCCTACTTTGCAATAATTTTTCAACAAAGTCCTGCTTTCACTCTCTCCCTTCTCCGTTTATCTTTCATTGTTTCCACAGTTATCTTAGAAAAATCTAGATCAAATCAGGCCACTTCTTCCAAAAGCTGTAGAAAGAACTTTCAGGAACCAGAAAGATCTCTTGTCTTATTTTTTCCCCTGTTTTTCTACTAAATAACTCCCTCTAGCCTCTGGTACAGCTGTACATGTCCTTTTTTCTTTTTTTTAACACATTTTTGCTTTTAGAGCTTTGTGCCTTTACTTAGCATTTTTTGCCTTTTGAAGTTCCACTTACCGTTCAGAACCTGTTTCAGGTGTTCAAATGGTGCATTCTCCAGGCTGTGCCTTCACTCTTTCCTTTTTTGCTTCCTACCACTTTGTTAGTATTTTTATTATAGTGTTTATTCCATTGTGCTTTGTATTAAAACTTTGTGGTACAGGTCTTAATTCCTAGTGTCTGGTTATTCTTTTTTCTAATAAAGCATAAAGACTTGAATGTAGTGAGCATATTTTAACTGCTTTGAAAAATACTAAAGAAAGTTTGTTAAGGATGTGATGGGATAACCAATTCCAGAGAGTATTTTAGTTGAGCTTTATCAGCTTTATTTTTCAGATATTATACAATGGTTTCTTTACAGCTGTCAGCACTGTACAGCTGCCTCTGTACAAACACTTTTTGAAATGATGCAGTTTTTTATCTGAATTTTGTTGGTGATAAATATGCACACATCATCATTTTTTAATTGCTAACTAAACAGCTGTGTTTTTTGGCAAGAGAAGAAGAAATCATTTTTGTGTATTATCATGAGATTGAAATTTTTTTAAAAGCGTGAGCTGCCATACTCAATACTTAGAATTCATAATTAGATACTATAGTTAAGTGGACCAGAATATTTGCTTGTAAATTTAAAATCTGTGGGTCTAGTGAAGCAGTTGATGTGTGGGGTGTGGTTCCTGTTTTCTGTAAAAATTAGTATAGACCTCAAAAGTGAAGTCTTTGATTTTTGTCAAACTCCAGGTCAAGAAGCTGTTGCCACTTTTAACTGCTGGTCATATTCAACTTAGTGAACATTGGTGGCGTGTATGTGCAAGCATTTTTGTAGGTGCTGTTGGTAATACAAAATTGTAGGAAATAATCTTGTTTTCAGGAACCTCCAGATCTGTTGGGAATAAGCAGGTACACAAATCTTTATAAAACATAATAGAGGGGCTGGCCTTGTGGCCAAGTGGTTAAGTTTGGTGTTCTTCTTCGGTAGCCCAGGCTTCACCGGTTCTTATCCTGGGTGTGGAGATGGCACTGCTAGTCAAACCATGCTGAGGTGGTGTCCCACATAGCAGAACCAGGACCTACAACTAGAATATGCAACAGTGTACTTACTGGGGGGCTTTGGGGAGGAGGAGAAGAAGAAGAAGAAAAGATTGGCAAGAGGTGTTAGCTCAGGTGCCAATCTTTAAAAAAACCAGAATGTAAGTACATCAAAGTGGTACAGATGAAATGGTATGAGGGTTTAAAGATGAAACACTGTCTGGCTGTGAGGCTACTGAACTGACTGCATCTTGAAGAACTGGTAAGATTTCAGAATAGCAAGGAAGGGGAGGACATATTGAGCTCAGAGATAGAGGAGGCAGCCTAGAGCTTATTCTGAGAATAGTTAGCAGTCTTACCTGACTATAACAAAGAGAACATATGGAAAGAGGTAAAACTGGAAAGATAGATGGGAACAGGCTGGGGCATGACTGTGAAGGTCTTTGAATACTAGGTTAAGGATTTTGGATTTAATTCGATTGGCCAGGGAACCTTTGGTTTTTACCACTACGCCACTGGGCTCGCACCTGGTTTTTAAATAGAGAATTATATGATCATAGCTGTAGTTAAAGAATATGGTCATGTGTTCCTTAACGATGGGGATACCTTCTGAGAAGTGCATTGTTAGGCGATTTTGTTATTGTGCGAACGTCATAGAGTGTACTTACACAAACCTAGGTAGTATAGCCTACTGTAACACGTAGGCTATATGATACTAATCTCATGGAACTACTGTCGTATGTGCGGTTCGTTGTTGAATGTATTGATCCTGTGGTTTAGTTTGAAGGCTAAAGACTGGAGAGAGGACTTGTTTAAAACTTGAGGTCCACATTCTTCCCCTTTCTCCTACCTTTCTAAAGACCTTTTCTAACTTCCTATGTGGCTGTTCCGGTTTTCCAAATTAACTTTCTAACTATGGCTTAGTTCTTATGTACCATAGTGAGTTTATCTGTCAAGCCTGACCTGTTTGAAACTGCCTGTACTGAACCCTAAATTAGTCACAGCTTTACTTTTCACTTCCTTTTAGTGTTTGAAGAATCATTTTGAGCATATTTTATACTTGCTACCATATGTTTAAAAAATTTTTTTCTTAATTTTATCAGTGGCTTTCCCTAAATACATAATAAGATCTACATGAGTGAAACATTTCTAGAATATTTATTTCTGAAGGTAGCCAAGTATAATGGAAAGAACATTTTTACAAAAACTGGCTGTGAGACCATGGGAAAATTGCTTAACTCATTCTATGACTTAATTTACTTTTTTGTAAAATGGATGTAATTATTACTTAACAAAATTGGGATTGTTAAACAAAATAGTAAAATGTGGACGTGCCTAGCACATGTGTAGGTATTGAGTAAATGTTAGTTTTTTTCTTTTTCCTTTCTTGGCTAAGACTGTAGAATAATGCATTTGAGTCTACTTGTTAGTAACAGGCATATTTGGTGCCTAGGAGAGAGTTTTTTAAAAATTACTGTGGCTTCTCTCTAAATGTGATTCAAAATTTTGAAGTTTCAATTCTTCTCAATCCAGCTTTACATGAGTTTAAAATTAAAACATAAAGGCTTCTTCGTTTTTTTTCTCCCTAAGAAATAAACCTGTTTCTTTTATCATTACTAATTTCCACAGTACAGATTGTGTAGTTGTTTTGCCGCAGTGGCAGAAATCCTGCTGGAAAGGGGAGGAAAAGACTTTGTCTCTTCTGTTGATGTTATTCCAGAGAACTTCAAATTTAATTTGCTGAATTTCCGAGTAGTTTCTCTTTGCTTTTATCATCCTAATGTTTTATTGAAAGTCTTACCTATGAATGAAATGAAGAACTGTCTTGTCCTTTGCATATGGTGGGCACTCAGAATAATTGCTCGGTGACTTAGATGCATTAGGAGAGGGGGAGGTTTCCTCTAATACTTGAGACACTTGCCCAGGGAGGATGTGCCTCTGAGAGCTTGTTGCTGTTTGCTTTTACCTCTTCTTTGCCTGCATTCCGGTTTGTCTCTGCCTTTCTTTTTATATTTTGTAAAATCTCAATTCAGCAGTAACACAGATTTTAAAATCTTGATTGATATCAACGCAGTCAAAAGTTTGATTAAAAATTAATTTATAGGCAAGTAAGGCTTGGAGTAAATCAGAAATATGGCCCATCTACTGTCAGAGTTCATTATTTTAAAGACAAAAAGGGCTTTACAGATTATTTTATACAAGGTGGTGGCTGCTGCTCCTACTTCACTTTTTTAGAGCAGATAAGTACTGTGTGTGAAATTTCTTATTCGGGGCCTGAGCTGAGATTACAATCCAGGTCTTTTGGTTCATAGTTCATCAGTTTTTCCATTTTTAAATGGAAAATACTGTTAAATACTGAAACTCACTGATATCAGATGTCATGGGTATGTGTAAGAAATTAATTAGATGATTTTTCGTTTTAAACTCACCTGCAAGGATGAGATAAGAAGTATTGATTTTCAGAAAGAAGAACTGGGCCATAGTATTCTGTGACAGTTGGGCTTTCTTCTCAATTGTAGATAGTATTATGTCTCTTTTTTAAAAGAGTTTTTCCTCTTCTAATATTACATTTTTAACAGGTGGTAGACACTCCACTGAAGAGCGTGTTGCTTTACAAACGAGATATTACCAAAAGACTGGGGTGGAGCTTGGACAGTTCAATGCACTTCTTGTCTACAGTTGTGAAGGAGATAACTTGAAACTTTTGGATTGTTTAATTTTTTTTAAATTGGTATATAATGCTGGCTTCATGAAAGTTGAGATTTTTCTTTTTTTTTTTTTTAAAGATTGGCACCTGGGCTAACGACTGTTGCCAACTTTTTTTCTTTTTTTTAAGGATTGGCACCTGGGCTAACAACTGATGCCAATCTTTTTTTTTTTCCTGCTTTATCTCCCCAAATCCCCCCTGTACACAGTTGTATATCTTAGTTGCAGGTCCTTCTAGTTGTGGGATGTGGGACGCCGCCTCAACGTAGCCTGACAAGCCGTGCCATGTCCGCGCCCAGGATCCGAACCCTGGGCCGCTGCAGCAGAGTGCGCGAACTTAACCACTCGGCCATAGAGCCGGCCCAGAGATTTTTCTTTTTGTGTGTTTCTGCTATAGTTCTTACATTTTTAACTAGGAATTAGGGCTGCCAGACACTATTTGCTGGACAAGAAGACAAAGGAAGTCAGTTGGAAACCTGTTGGGATTTATAGAGTCTTTGAAGTGGCTGGATGTGGGAGGGAAAAACAAAATATAGAAATATCAGTAGTGGTTATGAGTTAGAAAATATAATGTGGAAAAGAGACTAGATCCAAAATAGCAACAAAAAGTGTAAAATACTTTGGAACCTACTTAAGAAATATAATAATCTTGTGAGAAGAAAGCTACAAAATAACTGGGCCACTAAAGAAAATTTGAGACCTTGGAAAGAAATTCTGTCAGCCTGGCTAGGAATACTCAAAACTATAAAGATGTTAATTTATTCCAAATTTTAATTTATGGATGTAATATGAGTTTCATCAGAATTTCAGTGGATTTATCTGTTTATTCTTTCACTTATTTATTGTAATTGAAAAATGATTTTAAACCTTAGTTGCACATTGGGATTACCTGAGGAGCTTTAAAATATTTCCAGTGCACAGGCCATACCCCACATTCCCCAGGCCAGTAGAATCAGAATATCTGGGGAAGGGATCTAGGTATCGGTATTTCTTAACCCTTTATATTTATCTTCAGAGTCCATTGATCTCAATTTTGGTTTTTGAGTTTCTATTTTAAGCAGTTCTAATTATTTGTAGTGGTTGATATTTTGTAACTATTATTATTGCTCATAGAGATCTTCAAAACAAAGGAAATTATTAAAAAATAGAATAAAACTCATTCTTGTTTGCAATTACCATATGGGTTTGTTGGACGTGTATAAATCAGGGATATATTGTGAGATTTTTTTTTTTTTTTGAGGAAGATTAGCCCTGAGCTAACTACTGCCAATCCTCCTCTTTTTGCTGAGGAAGACTGGCCCCGAGCTAACATCCATGCTCATCTTCCTCCACTTTGTACATGGGACACCTACCACAGCATGGCTTTTGCCAAGCAGTGCCATGTCCGCACCCAGGATCCCAACTGGCGAAACCCTGGGCCGCCAAAGCAGAGTGCATGAACTTAACCACTTGGCCATGGGGCCGGCTCCTGAGATCTTAATTATCTTGCTTTTCCTATATCTTGAAGCATTTTGCTGTTTATACTAGGAATGATTTAACCAAAAAGAAGAAAATGGAAGAGTGAGATAATTGCCTAGAAGGATGATACAATGATGAAATAAATCATCACTATTGGATGATGTTTCAGTTTTATTATTGTATTGCCCAAAGTATTACATCATTTTTTGAGAATATATGAAAGCAGTTTGGAGATGGAGTAGTCCCCCGTTTTCCATGAGGAATACGTTCCAAGACCCCCAGTGGATACCTGAAACCATGGATAGTACCAAACCCTATATATACTATGTTTTTCCTATACGTACATATATATATATTTAATTTATAAATTAGGCACAATAAGAAATTAACAATAATAAAATAGAACAATTATAGCAATATACTGTAATAAAAGTTACCGTAGATCTTAGCAACCTCAGCATAGGATTTTTTTTTCTTGTTGAGAACTTTCACCTGTTCACTTAAAGTAAGCACTTTACAGCTTCTCTTTGGCATATCTGAATTGCCAGCTTAACTACTCTTGTGCTCTGAGGCCATTATTAAGTAAAATAAGGGTTACTTGGGGGCTGGCCCGGTGGCATAGTGGTTAAGTTCATGAGCTCTGCTTTGGCGGTCCAGGGTTCACAGGTTCCACTCCTGGGCGTGGACATACACACTGCTCATCATGCCATCCTGTGGTGGCATCCCACGTACAAAATAGAGGAAAATTGGCATAGATGTTAGCCCAGGGGCAGTCTTTCTTAAGCAGAAAGAGGAGGATTGACAGCAGATGTTAACTCAAGGCCAATCTTCCTCACCAAAAAAAAAGAAAAAGGAAAAGGAAAGAAAAAGAAGGGTTACTTGAAAACAAGCACTGTGATACCAGGACAGTCAGTCTGATAACTAAGATGGCTACTAAGTGACTAACAAGCCAATAGCATCTACAGCAGGGATATGCTGGACAAAGGGATGAGTCACGTCCCAGGTGGGAGGGAGTGGGACAACGCGAGATTTCATCATGCTACTCAGAACTTGTAAAATTTAAAACTTACGAATTGTTTATTTCTGGAGTTTTCCACTTAATATTTTCAGACCTCAGTTGACCAAGGGTAACTGAAACTGCAAGGGGGACTACTGCATCCTTTTTAGTCTGTTTGCTTTAAGCTTTCATTTAACATATTTGAGAATTCAGACTTTTTCATTTTCCATCTTTAATGGCAAAGGAAAAAATTGGCAAAGGTAGACATTTCAGAACTATTAGACAAGTCAGAAGATACAGGGAAAGAAACAGCAACAGTTAAACTAATAATGATGGTGAATCATTATAAGTACAGTGAAATCTCAGACTATGAGTCTTCAGATGATGGTTTTTAGATGCTTTTTCGAATTCAGAATTAATGAGTAAACAATATTCCTAAAGCCAAAAATGGAAATATTACAGACTCATGCATGATAACTTATGAGCAGTTCATTGCATTCAAAGGATGTTGCTGTTTTGGATATATACACTTTCAATAACAGAGAAATATCAGAATATGAAATTTGCTATGTTTAAATTTTTATAAAGATTCTTCTTCTTCTTTTTTTATTGGTGAGGAAGATTGGCCCTGAGCTAACACCTCTTGCCAGTCTTCCTCTTTCTGCTTGAGGAGGCGTGGCCCTGCGCTAAAATCTGTGCCAATCTTCCTCTATTTTGTATGTGGGACACCTCCACAGCATGGCTTGATGAGCAGTGTGTAGGTCCACAAACGGGATCTGAACCCATGAACCCTAAACTGTTGCAGCAGAGAGCACGAACTTAACCACTATGCCACCAGGCTGGCCCCTAAAAATTCTTTGTAAAGTTATTTTATTTTTACTATCCCCTTATTCTTACTTCTGTAAATTAGTCATAAAATGGCTTAAAATGTTAAAAACAAAAAGGTATTTTGGACCCAGATGGTAAATTGAGATGACTTTTTTTCTGGTATACTGAAGGTTAAAGCTCCCGTGTGATTCCAGTGTGCAGCTAAGGTTGAGAACCACTGTTCTAAGTAGACTCCATCTGGACAAATAAACAGGAGATTTAGGTAAAATGTTTTTGAAAGGTTAAGTAATGGGGGATAGTCTAGACTAGTTCTACCAGATCCTTGGTATTGACACAAGAATTATAAAACAGGTTAATGGATTAGATCAGACAGCCCAGAAGCAGATCTTAGAATATATAAAAATTTAATATGATAAAGAGTATTATAAATCAGTAAATTAGATAATTAATACCATTAATAAGAGCTACCACTTGCTGACTACTTGCTAAACGTTTTATATGCATTGTCTCATTTGATCCTCCCCCTGACGTAGCTGCTGTTATCATTCTCATTTACAAGTGAAGAAACCTGAGGCCACACTGTAGTTGGTGATTCTGGAGCAGATGGAATGCAAATATTTGAAAAGAAAAAAGGAATTTGTACCTATGCCAGAATAATTTCACGTGGATAGGAGAATTAAATATAAAATGCATCTCATAAAACATATATAATAGATATGTGTATCTGATATCTGGTTAAGGGAAGCTTAGGAGTAATGGAAGAAAATCTGAAAGGAAAAGATTTGTAAGTAAGATTTAAGTCTTTAAGAAATAAAAACTGCTTCTTGTCAAACACCATAAACAAAATTATAGATTAATATGCTAGGAACAGCTAAGAAATAAATGGGTTAATAGCCGTTATGTGTACAACACTCATACAGATTAATAATCCCTAAATATATGAGCTTAGAAATACAAGTGGTTAATAAACACGTTAGAAAGTGGTTGGTGTCACTAGGTAGCCATGAAATAAAACATTCAATTAAATTAAAAGTACTGCTTTTTCTGCCTTAGGGCGTTCGTCCATAGTATTAGTTCCTTTCTTGACTGCTTATCCTTTAAGACAGTGTGTAGCATCTCTTCAGTGAGGTCATTTTGAACTACTCAGTGAATGAGTTTTTCCCTGTATTTTGGCACCCTACCCATTTTCTTCTTTGTACTTCACCTTTCGGAATCACCTGATTGTTTACTTGTTGTCTTTCTCTTACACTAGATTCTAAGCTGTGAGAGGAAAAAAAATAATGTCTGGTATCCAGAAAGTGTTCAGTAAATCATTGCTGAATGAATAGAAGTGGTGAATGAAATGAATAAAATGAGATACCGTTTTTGAAATCCATCCTGTTTGTTGAAATTTTTAAAGAAAAATACTCTTTAAGACAAGGTAGGATGGGTACAGTCATTGTGCTGCTGGGTAAATTGGTGTTACCTCTCAGAATGGAAATTTTGTAAAAGGTAGCAAGAGCCTTAAACATTCATGCCTTTTGACCCAGTAATTTTACTTGTTGGAATCTGTCCTAAAGAAGTCATCTCTACCAGAGGATGGGGAAGTTTTCCTCCTAGCTCTTCCTGTATTCACTGGTATTCCTTCCTAAGAAAAGCAGACGGCAATCCACTTGGGCCACGTTTTATAGCTGTCTTCTGCTTCCTCTTTCCGTGCCCCTCAATGACTAAGATGTGCAAAGGACTCAATTCTTGGCTAGGCCTGGTAATCTTGTATTCTAATACTCTCACAAAAGTCTTCTGAGAGTTCTTACTGCTTCAGAAACCTCAGTGTGCTGCTGGTAAATTTGGCTTTGGGCTTTGGGAGAAGGCAGAGGCCTTGTTTAGGCTCTGAGCCAAAGGGTGGTGCGCTAATCCAGTTTACCCAAGAGCATTGCTTTGGGGTATCTAGCAGTAATCCAGCTAACAGTGGAACTTTTCCTTCTCATTTCCCTTTTCATTCTCCTCATCCCTCCTTGTCCTCTCCCCCCTACCCCCGCCACCCCACCCCAACCGTCCTTTTCTTGTGTGTGTAGGGCATTTGTGTATTCCTGGGTTCTTTAGCTCAATGCTTTCCTTCTTTTTCATGTCAGACACATACAGAAAATATTTCAGGACCAACAGGGATAATGGAAGGGGCTGCTTAAGGCCCAAGGTTTAAGTTCTTTGTACTCATTGTTTCTCAAATATTGGTCACAATCCATTAGTGAAATCAATCAAGTGGGCTGCAATTATCATTAAAATAAGTGAAGATAGTAGAATACATCATTCATAGTTGAAAGAATTATGTGTTCGTGTTTGTAACCTTGCAGTATGAGATGTATTTCTTATGTGCGTCACTGTCAAACTTTGAAAGCTATTTGTTCTAGCCAAATACCAATTAACAATGCTCCAGACTTCTGTTAGGTTGCATCATTCTTAAAACAGGGGGAAACATTTATGAACAGAGATTCAGCCTTAATATATTACAAAATTTGAACAATGAGACATTATCAAGAGACTGGCTAAATAAACCATGATGACCTATCCTGTCAGGTTATTTGCTCATGTTAGTATTCTCTTACCTTTCTTCAGAATTTTTAGGGTTTGCAGTGACGGTCCAGAGGTTAGAAATAGCTTTCTTAGTTCTTGTAGAGTCAGTGGAGCCTTCAGGAATAATTAATGTACCATAATATCCTGCTAACAGCACAGAGGAGTCGGAGTTGAGCCCCCGTTCTCTGACAGCCTTGGGCAGGGTGCTTAACTCCTTTATGTCTGTTTATTCATGTAGAAAACGGAGCTAATAATGCGGATCTGTTGTAAGTTTGCCCTAAGTAGGAAATGCAGTAATGTGTGCAAAGTGCTCAGCTCCTTGCTTGGACTTCCAGTGAGTTAATTCCAGGCTCTTTTGCCTCTTACATTATTGAATCTCTCTCTTTGTGCCTTAATTTCTCCTTCAGCTTACATTTCAGCTATATTATTAGGTGCTTCTTTGGGAGATAATAAAAACTTCTCTAGTTACTTCACAAGACTTTGAGACAGTTAAAATCGGAAGATAATAAATGTGGAAAACACTGCCCAGATTTGTGGTGGTGGTAATTCCAGTGGTAGCAGTAAGAGGAAACCTGTTTGCATTGCATATGAGCTGATTAATAACTGTGGATGTCCAAATGAGTAGAATTGGCAGTTGATTCAGATAGAATAAATAGATACTTTCACTTCTCTAAAAGTGCCAACCTCTTTCCTGCCTCAGGACCTTTGCAGTTATTCCTTTTGCCTAGAATATGCTCCCTTATCCCCACTCCTCATATCTGCATATCTAGTTCCTCCTTATCAGATGAAACAATACCACTTTAGAAAGGCCTTCTCTGACCATCCAGTCTGAGGAGCTCTGTTTGCTGTTTTCCCCCTCCCCATCTGGGATTTAAGCCTTGAAGAGCAGGGACCTTCCCTGTGATGTTTATTATTTTTTTCCTTCACCTAGATCAGTGCCTAACAAAATAAATACTTGTTGACTGTTTGAATATAATGTAGAGTATAAAAATTATCTGTAATTCTATTTCCCAGAGATAACCCTTGTTGATATTATGGTATATGGTTTTCTGGTTTTATTTTCTGTGTATGTGCTTACATATTTACAAATGTCTATGATTATGTATTTACACCGTATTTCATTGGGTCTAAAGATGAACATGTTTTACCATATTTTCTGTCTCTGAAATTGGGATATCATATAACCAAGGGTATGCCATGTTAATTGGCAGCATTTTTCTTTCTCAGTGACTTCTAAAATGAGTATGTGTCTTAAAATTACAGTATCTTAGATTTGATGAAATACAATATATGTTTAAAACAAAAATGAGATCATGATGTTCAACTCTTTCCTCACCTAAATATTTTGAGCATTTTCACATATAACTATATTTAGATCTATCTCATTCTTAACAGATATCTAGCATATTATTAGGGGTGTTTCGTAAATTGTTCAACCAGTTCCTTGTGATGGACATTTGGAACTTTTCCAGTTTTTGTCTATTACCAACAGTGCTGTGTTGAATATCCTTGTACACATCTTTATGCACTTGAGTCAAATCTCTTTTGATCAAATACCTAGATTAGTGGATACTTATATTTTCTGTAGTATACGAGAGTGCCTGTTTTCCTATATCCTTCGTAGTACTGCATCTTAGGAAATGTTTTAAATATTTGTTAATCTTGTAAGTGAAAACTATCCTAATTTTTTAATCATTTTTTTAAAATTATGAATGAGATTGAGCCTCTTTTCATGTTTATTGGCTGTTTTTATTTCCTCTTCTGTGATGCACTTGTGCATAGGACTGTAGACCTTTAATTGGCTGGCACATTTGCCCTAATTAGAAAGAGAAGCCATCACAGTTTGGAGCCGTGCATTATCGTATTAATTCTTAGGAATAACTTTCAGGGCACAGCCTGCCCTTTTGGAGGGCAAGAGGGCTTTAGAGGACCCAAGATCGAGGGAGAGACAGAATTCAGGAATTATCAGAATTCTATTCTTTGTAATGGAGACGAAGAAAGGTTATAGTATTATCAATTTGTGGGCTGAATACTGAAACTTAGACTATGCTGTTAGTCTTTGAATTTTAAATGCTCCTCTTCTCTTTACTATGATTTGGTTGTAGTGTAGTAATATTAGGTTAGTAGGTCTGAATTAGGGCACGACTCTGGGACTTGAGTGAAATCAATATTCAGATTTAGAGATTAAATCTATGATCATTTAAGGTTAGATTATTATGGGTTTTTTTTACATTGCCAAAATGTTCTTGTCAACGTTTTTGAGCAGCTTTGCTGTGCCACATGGTGTCAATTTAAAGATAGATATCAGGTGGTCTCTGCCTTTTAGGTTGCACTGCAGCCTATGAAGGAGACAGATTTCATCCTTTGGTAAGAGTGAAGCTAGAAGGTACGTGGAATGTGAAGAGCGCAGAGGGAGATACTTAGTCTAATAGAGTTTAAAGAAATCTTCCTGGAGTAGATATGGTAACCTAAACTGAGTCTTGAAGGATGAGTAAGGGTTAGCTGAGGGTAGTAAGTAGTAAAGGACACAACAGCATGAGAGAAGATACAGGTGGATGAAACAGACTACAAGTGGTAGGGTATTCTTAGAATATAAAGTTTGAGATGAAGAATGACTCAGGATGAGTCTAGGGAGAAAACAAGAACCAGATAATGAAGGGCCTTAAATGATACGCTAAAGGTTTTACAGATTAAGAGGAGTCATTTTGAATAATGGCATGCTCAAATTTGCATTTGAGAGATCATTCCCTGAAGACTGGTTTAGGGGGCAAGACCAATGGCAAGGAGACATGTTGGGAAACAGTTCTGGTAATCCAAGTGAGAGAATTAAGGCCATTAGCTTAGTGGTAATAGCTTACTGGAAAAATCATAGTCATTTCCCTTAGTTTATATAATATTTGATCCTCTTGTTCAGAATCCCTCTGGGATTAAATTTCATGGAAGTGGGTTTATTATTTTGCAGAGGTGACTTATATTCATTGTCCAATTGTTTATTGTTCATTGCTGTCTGTAACAAGTTTATACTTTTATAAATTACTGCTTAACTAGTATGGTGCTATATGGAGATGGTTAATAAGTGTTTTTGATGATTATAAGAATTAGGAGATGTTAGCCCTTTTGGTATGCTTAGTGATTATCTTAGAGGTAAACAGTTTTGGAGCATTTTGCCTTTGGGTAAAAGTAATGATTTATTAGGTTAAATTTAGGTTATATAATTTCTTAATTTATGTGAATTTATAATTTCTATGTGCTAATTAATTTTTCTTTTTTTTTTTTTTAAGGCTATCAGCAAACGATGGTGGATCGCTTGGCAAACAGTGAAGCAAATACCAGACGTATAAATATAGTAGAACACTGTTTTGGAGCAGCTGGTCAACCTTTAACTATACCTGGACGGGTTCTTATTGGAGAAGGAGTATTGACTAAGTTATGCAGAAAAAAGCCCAAAGCAAGGCAGTTTTTCTTATTTAATGATATTCTTGTATATGGCAATATTGTCATCCAGAAGAAAAAATATAACAAACAACATATTATTCCCCTGGAAAATGTCACTATTGATTCCATCAAAGATGAGGGAGACTTGAGGAATGGATGGCTTATCAAGACGCCAACTAAATCATTTGCAGTTTATGCTGCCACTGCCACTGAGAAATCAGAATGGATGAATCACATAAATAAATGTGTTACTGATTTACTCTCCAAAAGTGGGAAGACACCCAGTAATGAACATGCTGCTGTCTGGGTTCCTGACTCTGAGGCAACTGTATGTATGCGTTGTCAGAAAGCAAAATTCACACCTGTTAATCGTCGTCACCATTGCCGCAAATGTGGTTTTGTTGTCTGTGGGCCCTGCTCTGAAAAGAGATTTCTTCTTCCCAGCCAGTCCTCTAAGCCTGTGCGGATTTGTGACTTCTGCTATGACCTGCTTTCTACTGGGGACATGGCCGCATGCCAGCCTCCTAGATCAGACACTTACAGTCAATCATTGAAGTCTCCTTTAAATGATGTATCTGATGATGATGATGACGATGATAGCAGTGACTAAGGACATGTTTGAAATATTTAATCGGGTGTGACTATCTGAGAAATCAGCTTTGGGGGGAATGTAAAATTCTGAGCTCTCTCAGTTTTGCTCTAGCCATGAATTTGCCTGAGAAACTTTTAACCTATGTGCCTCAGTATATTCTATAGAAAATAGGTCCTGTCGTTGTCCCCTTCCCACCAGCTCCCCACTCTTCTACAGGGACAGGCTATTGAAAATATATCAGGTAAATTTTTGGTTTCTTATTCTTGTTTAATTCTAGATTATTTTCTTGGAATGTTGGGGAAAAGGTTTATTTAACAGATCATGTACTGCATTTTTGTTTATTATATGTTCTGTTATATGGAAAAACTAAAAGCAAAGAATGATGGAAAAAGGAGTATAATGTGGTTAGTTGATGATTATGTTAGCTTTTTTTAAACCTTCCTATCTAATGTTTAAGACACCAGTAACAAAAATACATGATTTGGAAATCTTTTGTTTGGCTTTTTCAATACCAAGTGGTGCCTTATCGTAATAGCACTGTTACATGAAATAGGCCCCTACCTTCTCACTTTTTAGTTTATTTTAAAAATACACTGGTGCTGTTTAAGATGACAAAATGAGTGTTTTTGAATGGATGTAATTAAAAAATACTTCTCATCCAACAGATACAAATAACTACATTTAGAGATTCTTTATTGTATATGAGTAAATATTTTCCATAAAATAGTTGTGATATTTTTATGTTTTATAGTTACCAAATTATAATTGTCAAATATGTATTTTAAATTAATAGGTTGTCATTACTAGGAATTTGGCTTGAAATTTATCAAATATAGAATGGTCATACTGCATTAGTTTGTACTTTTAGTAAGACATTAGTAGGTACAAATTCATCTGCTTTAATTTTATTTCTAAAATGAAAACTCTTATAAAACCCTTGAAATTAAATAATCTCTTTTAAAAAAATACCATGATAGAGTACAGATCTACTTAGGCTGAATTTTTGAAAGAAAGACTGTCTAAGAATGGTCAAGACAGACCAGTTAAGTTTGACTAGACTTCATATTGGTGGAAGTATTGTCTATTTGAGTGTGAAACTATCTTGAATTTACAAATATAGTGTTATATTTTATAAAATTTTGTAAAGTCCCAAACAATATTTCTATTTTTGTAAAACAGTTATATGTTTAATCTGTTTCTGAAATCATTTTACAGTCTATGGAAATAGAGTAGCAATTGATCTTTCTAAATTGTGAGGCAGTGTAGATTGCTTATGAGAAGTGGTAATTTTTCAGTCTTTGCTTTTGAGGCAGCCATTAGGTTGAAGGTATATTTATCATATAAAACTTGATGCATTTTGCACTACTCTCCATTTGTATGCTGCAAATAACTAAAGTCTTTCAAATATGAAAAATCAGTCTAAAGTTTGTTTTAAATATTCTTTTGTTTTCAAATCTTTAAATCTGGATATATTGCAAATGTCATAAGAGGTTTGACTCAGTAACTTGTGATGGAGGATTCTTTGGTTTGCTTAAGGCATTAACTTTCCTGTTGAATTGTGAAAGCACCTGAGATATATAGATCTCCCTGTAGGAAAGATGTAAGAAAGGCACAACAGGTTTTTTTATTTGTTTGTTTAATATCGGACTTTTGTTTCTAAGCAATATATACATGTAATCATTCAACATACCTGAAAAGGGCCATGAAACCTGAGAAGTGCTAATAGCAACTTTCTGGTGCATAGGAACCACGGGGGATGTTCTGAGATATTGTGTTGTCAACCTCTATTGACTCGTGTTTTTACAATAAAAAATATTTTACAATTTACCTTCTGTTTTGTGCATCGTGTGACTTGAAGATTCTTTTCCCCACTTGCCAGGGTAATGGAGATATTACACGTATTTTGCCTCATTCAACAGCTGTGAGTGCCTTCTCTGTGCTGGGCATTGTTCTGGGCACTGGGGGTGGAGCAGTGAACAAAATTCCCTCCTTTTCGTGGAGTTCACATACAAATAGAATCCAATCTTCCAGAATTTTTTTGGTAATTTTTAAAATTTTTATAAATCATCATTATATATATCCCTACGGTGATTTTGGTGCTGATTTCTCATGCCATTCCTATTGAATGAAATTTACTTGGACTGTACTGGAACACCAATATACTAACCAAATTGGTAACTATTGGTGTAAAGGAAGCAAGATTTTGTAGACGCCAAGGAAAAATAATAAATTGAATATACCTTAATAGAGGAATTCATGCCTTTGGGTCAAGTGCGTAAAATGGCCATAGTTAATATAAAGCATTTGTTTATGTCTTTATCACCTTTATGCTGAAGTTCTTATAAATAGGTAGTATAAAATTATATACCTTAAGAGAAAGGTCCCACTACTTGAACTGCAGTCTCCTTTCTCTCGGATATGCCAATTTAGTTCTCAAATACATGTTGTAGCTTTAAAAATAGAGTAGCACTTACCTACATATCCACGTGTACTATATTGCTATACATTTTACAAGACACATTTTTTTCTTTTTGGTGAGGAAGATTGGCCCTGAGCTAACATCTATGCCAGTCTTTCTCCACTTTGTATGTGGGACGCTGCCACAGCATGGCTTGATCAACCATGTGTAGGTCCACGTCCAGGATCTGAACCTGCAAACTCTGGGCTGCCGAAGCAGAGTGCACGAGCTTAACTACTATGCCATCGAGCCAGCCCCAATGAATAAAGTTTAATAGTGAAGTCTAGGATGAAAATACATGAAATTGTATTTAGTTTATGTTAAAGTCTTTCTTTAAAAGCTGAATTATTTTAGAGTCATTCAACCTTTATTAAGGATTTGTTATGTCAGGCTCCGTAGTATTGTTGTTGGATGTTTTAAACTTTTTAAAGGTACATTTCTGTAAGGGTTATTATCAATGGCATTCCCTTAAATATCAAATCAAAATAGGTTTCTTAAAAATTACTTTGTACTTGGCATCTGCAGTAATCCAACTTTTTTACAAGAATGTACTTTATGTACCAAATTTCAGTACTAGAATGCAGAATTCTAAACCCTGAAACGATCAATACTTCTCTGCATCCACTCTAAATGCAGTAGTTGGCAAACAGAAATTGGCAACAGTTGAATTGCTTGGCTTGATAATCTTGTCGTTCTAATTTATCAGGCATAGAAAAGTAGAGGAATTTGGTTGATAATATTGCTAGCATTATCTTGTCTTCACCATCCAAACCGTTGTCATATTTAATTATTCACACTAGTTAAAATGATTGCTGTAAAGCTTTGTATTATCTAACAATTTATCAAGAAAAAAGAAGTAGTATCATTTTAATCAGATTTTGTGCCTGCATGCTGCTCTCAGCTTAATGATTAGAGGCAATATATGCTTTTCTACTTTTTATTTTTTTAACAGCTCTTAAAACATTTTCATCACCCCAAAAAGAAACCCTGCACCCAATAGCAGTCATTCCCTGTTCTCTCCTCAATCCCCCAGCCCTCGGCAACCACAAATCCACTTTGTGTCTCTGTAGATTTGCCTTATCTGAACATTTTACAAATGAAATCATACATTATGGCTTCCTTCACTTTTTTTTTTCTTTAAAGATCTTATTTTTCCTTTTTCTCTCAAAGCCCCCCGGTACATAGTTGTGTATTTTTTTAGTTGTGGGTCCTTCTAGTTGTGGCATGTGGGATGCTACCTCAACGTGGCCTGATGAGTGGTGCCATGTCCTCACCCAGGATTCGAACCAGCGAAACCCTGGGCTGCCGAAGCAGAGCGTGCAAACTTAACCACTCGGACATGGGGCCAGCCCCCACTTTGTTTGTTTTTAAGGTTCATTCATGTTGTGGCATGCATGAGTACTTACTCCTTTTTATTGCCAAATAATATTCTATTTTTATGGACATCCTACACTTTATTTATTCATCAGGGCACATTTGGGTTGTTTCCACTTTTAGGCTATTATGAATAATGTTTCTATAAACATTTGCATACAAGTTTTTGTGTGGACGTGTTGTCATTTCTCTTGGGTACATACCTAGAAGTGGAAGTTGCCAAGTTAAATGTTACCTCTTTGTTTACCATTTTGAGGAACTGCCAAAGGGTTTTCCAAAGTGGCTGCACCATTTTGATTTCCCACCAGCCATGCAGAAGGGTTCCAATTTCTCCACATCTTCCCCAACACTTACTGTCTTTGATTATAACATGTGAAGTATCTCGTGGTTTTGATTTGCATTTTCCTAATGGCCAGTAATGTTGAGGATCTTTTCGTGAGCTTATCGGCCATTTGCATATCTTCTAAGAATTGTTTATTATGATCCTTCACCTACTATTAAATTAGGTTGTCTTTTTTTATCATTGAGTTGTAGAAGTTTTTTATTTTTTTAATTGAGTTATTGATAGGTTACAATCTTGTGAAATTTCAGTTGTATATTAATGTTTGTCAGTCATGTTGTAGGTGCACCACTTCACCCTTTGTGCCCAACCCCCACCCCACCTTTCCCCTGGTATCCACTAAACTGCTCTTAGTCCATAATTTTAAAATCCTCATTTGAGTGGAGTCATACACAGATTATCCTTCTCTAACTGGCTTATTTCACTTAACATAATTCCCTCAAGGTCCATCCATGTTATTGCAAATGGAATGATTTTGTTCTGTTTTGCAGCTGAGTAGTATTCCATTGTATATATGTACCACATCTTCTTTATCCATTCGTCTGTTGCTGGACACTTAGGTTGCTTCCACGTCTTGGCTATTGTAAACAGTGCTGCAATAAACATTGGGGTGCATAGGACTTTTGGGATTGCTGACTTCAAGCTCTTTGGATAAATACCCAGTAGTGGGATGGCTGGATTGTATGGTAGTTCTATTTTTAATTTTCTGAGGAATCTCCATACTGTTTTCCATAGTGGCTGCACCAGTTTGCATTCCCACCAGCAGTGTATGAAGGTTCCTTTTTCTCTGCAACCTCTCCAACATTTGTTGCTGTTAGTTTTAGATATTTTTGTCATTCTAACGGGTGTAAGGTGATATCTTAGTGTAGTTTTGATTTGCATTTCCCTGATGATCAGCGATGATGAGCATCTTTTCATGTGTCTATTGGCCATCAGTATATCTTCTTTGAAGAAATGCCTGTTCATGTCTCCAGCCCATTTTTTGATTGGGTTGTTTGATGTTTTGTTGTTGAGTTGCGAGAGTTCTTTGTATATTATGGATATTAAGCCTTTGTCAGATATATGATTTGCAAATATTTTTTCCCAGTTAGTGGGTTGTTTTTTTGTTTCAATCCTGTTTTCATTTGCCTTTGAAGAAGCTCTTTAATCTGATGAAGTCGTCCCATTTATTTATTCTTTCTATTGTTTCCCTTCTCTGAGAAGGCATGGTGTCGGAAAAGATCCTTTTAATACTGATGTCAAAGAGAGTACTGCCTACGTTTTCTTCCAGAAGGCTTATGGTTTCAGGTCTCACCTTTAGGTCTTTGATCCATTTTGAGTTTATTTTGGTGAATGGTGAAAAAGAATGGTCAATTTTCATTCTTTTACATGTGGCTTTCCAGTTTTCCCAGCACCATTTGTTGAAGAGACTTTCTTTTCTCCATTGTATGCCCTCAGCTCTGTAGGAGTTTTTTAATATAATCTGAATACAAGATCCTCATCAGATATATGATGTGCAGATATTTTCTCCCATTCTGTGAATTGTCCTTTGACTTTCTTGATGGTCTTGTTTGAGGCACAAAAGTTTAATTCTGATGAAGTCTAATTTACCAGTTTTTTCTTTTGTTGTTTGTGCTTTGGCATCCTATCTAAGAAAACCGTTGCCTAACTCAAGATCACCAAGATTTACTCCTATGTTTTCTTCTAACTCTGAGCCTGATTAGGGCTCTCAGTTATTGATAAACAGACATGTCCTTAATATTACCTCCAGAATTAGAATTGGAAACTATTTCCTAATGAATTAGATAAATTGATTAGCGAGTTTCCAGTCAAGGAAAACAATGTGTTCACATCAACCTTTTCTTTCTGGATGTCCTGCAGCCAGGCTCAGAAAACAGAAACATTCTTCCATATGCTGAAGACATGGTTTATTATTATTGGGAGCTGCATTAATATAATTTGGATTTGTAGTCCAATTTCTGTCAGGAAGAATGACTCAGATTATTCTGACATAAATTATTACAGAAGTTTTAGGGGTAAAATTTGAAGTTTAGATTTTTTGTATGGATCATGCTCTCTTACAGGAATATTCTAATAACTTTAAGAAACCAAAATCCCAGAGCTATTGAAGGCAAACTTTTTACTCCATAAACATTTATTGAGGACTTTTAATGTGTCTACCTCTGTTGGAAAGAATGACTTGGAACAGCTCCAAGGAACTCATTCTTTCCTTGATTTTCATGACCTTGATATTTTTAAAGATAATGCACCAGTGATTTTGTAGAATGATCCTCAATAGGAGTTTGTCTGAGGTATTCTCATTAAATTTGGATTATACATCTGTGTAGCAGGAATATCACAGAAGTTATGATGTTTTCTAATCACATCAAACTTTCGTTTTATTCGTTTCTTTTAATATTAGTATGGACTCATGTTTTCTTAGTTCTATGGTTCTCAGATTTGAGTATTCATGAGAATCCCTTGGAAGACTTGTTAAAACAGACTGCTGGGCCCCGTCTCCAGAGTTCCTGATTCTGGAGGTCTGGAGTGGAACCCGAGACTGCATTTGTAACAAGTTTTCAGTAGCTGTTGCTACTGGTCCAGGGACTATACTTTTACTTGTTTTATCATAATTCATTTTGATGCTCAAATTGTCCCTAATTTGGCCCGGGGCAA